AAGTCGGGATTTATCGTTCTTTCTCCATCAGGGCTACTGACTCGTGAGATATCCAATGATTTCAATGTCTTTGAGACTCAAATCCGCAAGCAACATTCGCTGAGGAATGCATTGCTCAACTAATCTGATCCAACTACTCATCTACACCATCACATTGAACCGCGCATAGCACACCCACTAGCGTGCACGAACTGCCTGGACAAGTAAGCGATGCTGAGCTATCAGAGTTTGCTGGTTTTGTCGCTGGCCAGTGAGTCGGAGAGTGAACTGCAGCAAAACAAATGCGTGGTCAGATTCAACGTATATGATCCAATGGGACCTGCGATTTCGAATTGAGCCACGCCAATGGTAGCTTACTGCTATGTGGTCAATTTGAGTTAGCGTACCAGTTGAATTGGAGCGCCACGTTGCTGTCTATTGAGAGCTGCGTCGGAATTTGGAACTGGATAAGAACAGATGATGATCTGTGCAGAACTGAAGAAGTCGATCACCATTATCGGTTCTTTGGCAGGGCAGAGCACAATGACCGCCTAGGCAAGCTTCTGGTGCGCTCAGTTTTCCAACTTGGGCGTTAAAATCACGTGCGAGTATAACGATATCGGAGCTCCGGCTCAACCAAATGAGTTCGGTGAGTTTTCACAGAAATCGCTCTTTTGTGTATCAGAATTGCAGTCAGTCGGTGCACATGCCAACATGATGAACAGACACCTCATGGTATTGTTTCCCTTTCGGACATTGATTGAACCCCTGAAGACGCAGCGCGCATAAACCACTGTTGACGGGGATCCCATCGACAAGTGAGGCTTCGGCCCTATTGCCGAGTACAATACATACTCCGCATTGACTTACTGAACGGGCTTCGTCGTCGCCTGATGTGCGAAGAACGTATCCCGAGGACAAATCTGTCGCTCTAGGGCGGCTTGTAACAGTTGGAATCTGAATTCGAGTTTACGATACGCAGCAAATATCGATCCCTCAGGACTCCATCGTACGAGCCAGACAAGCTTGTTGTCCCATCTGCATCAGAGTCTTTACGTTGAAAGTCCTCAGATTCAGTGATTGACGAGGCTTCAGAATTTGTAATCTATTTCTTGATAAATTACTTACAGCGCTATTTGGTAAAGACCTTTGGCGAGAGAGACTTTTACTGGTCGGAACAAGGGGCAAATGGAGAGGGTTGGGTGTGGAAGACAAATAGTTAAACAAAGGTTGGGATGTCTGAGCGGTAGCCAACTTATCGCAACCCACCCCGCTCGGTGTAATGGGCAGTGTGGTCCTGATTATCCTGCTCGACGACCCATGCGGTATGGAATTATTTTCAGTTTGTGTATGCATTGGGGTTTGATGGACCGGTACTGCCAGGGTGTCCAAGCACTAAGCAGAAGAACAATCAGGGTTTTCAACCAAGCCTCCAACTCTGACAAGAACCTAACCAAAAGGCGGTGGACGAAAAAAGGGTAGACATTGGATCGATTACTCTTCTACCATCTTTTATCTACTGAAACGCCAATTCTAGTCGAACCCCCCAACTTGGAGGACCAGAAGACTGGACTTTGTCGGGCATAATTAGATCTTCGGTTTCGTTAAGGCCATCCTGTGTAGTTCGTTGGGTCAGAGAAGTGCACAAGGCATCACACCACGACAAGGTGCAGTCTCATCGTGATGAGGACGTATCAGATGCCACCATATAAATAATCTATTCTCTCAGTGCTCATAGGCTTCCCGTGTTTCCGTGAGACAGACAACTGGTATATGTTTGACACACTGAATTCACGAAATTTGTGGTCAACAGACAAGTCTGCCAGGTGAAATGGACCGATTCATACTATTTGCGTTTGGAATCTGGGAAATGAACACAAACGAACTGAACAAAATGCCAATGTAAATAACACATCGGGTTGATTAATAAGATGGAACAAACGTGTAAAAGTGAACAAAAGTTGCTAAGTATAGAAGTAAAAGGTACACTCTACGGTAAGTGAATGGACTGTATCAAAAACTTTGGTGAGCATGAAGGCAGGCGATGCAATCGAATAAGCAACGCTTCACTAATTGCCTAAAGTTGACTACTGCACAGTGATTCGATGTCAGGAGAGTACACGAAATATTAACATCTCGCAACATTTGTCTCCTTACAGTATCGATGAAATGGATAAAAAGGACTCAATGTTTTAAAATAATAATGAACAACACGTGAATTTTAAACAATCAGCGAACTACTGAGTATCAGGCTATATTACCCAAGCTACAAAAACAACCAAAACCGTTGCATACAAGCTAATCACACAGAAATCATATCCAATTAGTCAGGGTGAAATTAATACGATTTGCTTTCTAAATGTAGTCAACGACTCTCGAGTTTACCTCGGAACTGTAACTTCAAGCGATAATTTGTCGGAATTCAACCAGTCAATCGATCATTGCTACAGACAGCTTACCTAGGTTAGACACACAACTGCATAAAATCTTCAAAGCATGACAGTGACGTTAAACGTGATTGATGATAAAACCCGAATTATTCCCTCACACCTGCTGTCGGAGGATTATGCAACGCTCATGCGGTTATATATCGTTGTGAGAAGCCGAGTAATAATAAAGCTGCGCTAAAAGATGACAACTAGTGCGCAAAGAGAGGCCGGGAGGGGGAGGTGGAACCATTATTATTAAATATGCTAGTTGTGACGGTGGCTATACAAAACTTTCAGTATAGATCCTGCAGTTATCAGCAGGACTGCCTGTGATCTGTTGAGTATTGCTGGTATCCACGGGTGCACATCTCAGTACGAGATAATTTGTTGAACAAAGTAGGTATAAGTCCAAAGAGGAAGGGATGCTGATTATGTGCACCTCACGATGAAACGTAAAACGACAAATAAGAAGAAATACATTTTTGACACAATAAGAAAGCCCTTCTTGCTTCAGAGGAAGCTGACAGCAGTTAGATACCGAAAATAATGTAGTTACATTCCACGGAGCGAATGCATGACAAATTTCTCATGTCGAGGCAGTTTCAGTTTCTCACTTTATTTTCGTGCCAAGTAAATCAATAGTAGTAGCAATACGATTTCGGACGTTAGCAACCGCATAGGTGATTAGCATCCGACTTATGAAGCCTGAGCTGTGCGCACAACGCAAATTGATTCAAGCTCTCAAACTCCCTTGGACAGGGGAAAAGAAAATCGCTTGTTCACACGACCATAAAGTTATGTGATCCAAACTGCGCACAAATTTTGAGTTCTCTTGGGCTCGTTTCCAAACACATGACTCATCCACTTTTCTGTTTGACCGTATTGAAATTGTTTCATACAAATGTGATTGTAAAGGCTTGAAAAGGAATTCACCGAAAACATATGTTCGCCTACAGTGTGTTCTTAATCAATGGGAATACTCCGTGATTTAAATCAATAGTGTTCGCATTCGTTACATGACCGATTTTCAAAATAGGATTCCCTGTGCCATCACAACGAGACCACACCTTAACGTGGTGTGATGGCTTAGGTGCCTCCATAACCCTACGAACTACAGAGGATGGCTTTCAACAGCCGAAGATTCAATCACGCCTGAATGGTCAATGAATGGAGGTCAGACAAAGCTTAGTCTCACAAGGCCAGCTGTTTGGGCATCTCCTGGCTTCCTTTTACTATCCACACTCGCCCCTGGAGAGGTCACTGAAGGAAATAAACACGGGGCGGGGCAGTTCACCGGTCAAGAAAAACTCTCTAGAAGGAAGGAGAAGCGGGGCACTCGGGGCTTCCTCTCAGGAGAAGTCTTCGCACTTCGCTGGACAGCCACCACCCGCCCAAGATGAGCAGCCCCCAGCCAATAAGGTGCTGTCAGGTCCAAATTCCGTTTGTCTCAATGGGTACATGAGATTAAGGGCCAATCCCAAACAGCGGACTAACAAGCAACGCACTAGCGAACAATACACTGAACCGAAACCAGAAGGTCTTGTGTGACAGGTCTCAAGAAGCTCTCACACGGGTTCCTTGGTCACGCTCCCACGTTGGATCTACGGCCCACTTCCTTGTGGCTCGAACTCTTGGTCAAAGGCTCCGGTTAGGGTTCCCAAAGAAAAATCCGTTCGTGGGTGTGGGCTGCCGTGAAGTGTGTCTTGGGCACTTATTTGTAAAAACCTCCTTCCCGTCTTCCTAGTTCTTCCTCTCAATCCCGAATAATCCCAGATGTCTCCTGTTTACGAGACACATCGGATATCATTCAACGTTTTACCAGTAAGGCCAAACATTCGGAAATTATAGGATTCTTGAAGCCAAAATCCCCTTTACACTTAGCGGCGTTCAACGTTCGCACACTCCACCAGATCTTCAACAAGCTGTCTTAGCTAGAACCTTTGAAACACTCAATTGAGACGTACGTTTTCTCCAAAACACGTATACAAGACACTACCTCAATAATCTCCCTGCGTTCTCCTGACCCAACTTCGTCTTCAAACTTCCGCCTTTGTGAGTCAGGTGATTCGGTATCCGACGCTCGCTGTGTTGCTGGCGTTGAGAATCCGCTGAATACCAAGGCTGACCGCTCGCTTCTTGACTGGATTCCAGTCAGTAGCCGACTGTACGCTGTACGTCAACAGTCACAGAACGAAGCGTCTATGCTTATTCATTGTATCGGTGTTTTCACCGATAGATTGCAGTACAGCCGAGGGCAATCAAAACCGGCGCACGGAAGTGTATGGTCACTGATTGTTCAAACTGAAACTGAATTTCTTATATGCCCTTTTCGTCCCTTTACATCACACCCAAGACTGCTGTTTCCGATAACGGCATATATTCTCATTTACTTTCTTCCCATTTGGTGACCGATCTGGAACAGACTCCGTACCTTATTGTGGGAAATTTTATTGTTGAAGCGCATATCAAACAATATTAAGCGCACACTAGAAGGCTTTATCTAGTGTCATCGAGGAGAAGACACACTGCCGNCACTGCCGAACTACCTCACTGTAACCGCCTCCAGCATGATAAACAAGTAGAACGACTTACTGGTGGGAGAGATCATCATTTGACTGTGGCGGGTTGAGCAAGAACAAAGCGACCAGGCGATAGGGAAATGCGGTCACTTCATCCGTTGTCGATTCACTGCTTTCGCCATCCGCATTATCCCCGGATTGGCTTTGTTTAAGGGCCATATCAGTGGCTCCGATCTCCCACAAATCAGCCACATGAGCTTCCATGTATATTGGATAGCGTTCACGTAAAATCCACTCTCGGAGACACCGCTCCATCACCGCGATTGTTACCGTTTCGGAAGAATCCGATTCTGTAGAGCAGCGAGAGATCCGGTGACAGAACTCAAGATAGAGTTGGTATATGGGATGATTTTGAAATTCAGATTTAACGAAGAGGAGAGAGTTCAACAGTTAGATGTGCACTACACTTTGGAGTCTCTGGTCAACAAGAGACAACCGATCGATCTAGAGACACTGGTTACTAATAATGACTCCCTTCTGACCCGCAAGACAATATATGATGATAATAACAATAATAGTAAGACATTTTACTTTCTTTTTATTTATTAAATTCACTATTCGAGAACCAATTTTCGGAAAAGGGGATGTGGGTAATCAAATACAAATTAGAAAGGTGGGCAGCGTTGACCAGATTCGAACACAACCTCTGGGTCGCTGCTATGATGACCACAACCATCGAAACGACTGCTGCAACCGCAGTAAATAGAATTACTGAGACGCGTGTAGCGGGGCCTTATCTGGTTTGCCACTCCAAGTCCCGAGGCTTAGGTTGCCGTCATTGAACAGCAGGTCTTCGCGACTTTGGGATTCACCGCGTCTACAGTTTAGCATACAAATGCGTGTAATAAAAACATGGCACCTGAGGTTCTTTAAATCCGCTTGGCTATTACTATTTTGTTAACAAAGTCTTACGTCAGTATTCCTTTTCCGGACTTTACGCTCCTTGGATGGTGTCGGAAGTTCATCCGTTCTGTCCGCATCAAAGCTTCTTTCGACTTCATTTGAGTGCTAGACACGCGTAACATGCCCCAACCAGCGATTATAACAGTGTATCACAAATCACATGTGTATGAGTTCGGCTTGTGCGCTTGTGCGATACGACAATCTCTATAACAAATCAGAGAAGTACGTTATTGTGAATTCCTTGTAAATAGGGCTACAAACCCTTCAGGTTCAGCTTACGTATTACTAATCCGACGCAAAAACCAACCGTTAAAAACCGAGATCGGATGAGTTCGTTCTCAATTCATGCAGCTAGTATACTAGTACTTCGATAGCTGTCGTTTGATCACTCACTTGTCCGGCCTATTCAAGATACGAAGAAGAAGGGATAAAAGGCTGAGTCGTTTTCGCATCGGAACTCATTTTACGGATCCCGAGCAGATTCGAGCGCACTGTGAAATAAGATCATTGCCCGTTCAACTTCAGTTAAACACCGATTGGATACCCCACGGCAATCCTACCTACACCGTTCCGGCTTTGCAACTGTGTGTGTGAGTGTGGCGAAAAAAGGTCAATAGCCTATCCTCATTCAATAAGGCGAATGCATACGTAGGAGAAATAAATACAGTTACATGTAGCAACACTTGGTAAGGCCAAGCAAACATCGGAACAGGCATAAGTTTTCGCGAATCTCCTACGAGATGAAAGTCAGCATCAGTGCAGTTCACATCGCATTGCTTTGCTCCGAATATTCATTCAACAAAAGCTTTAACAAATCCCTCTGGGTCCTGTTTAAACAATGATCTCTATAGAGAATGACAAGGTGACCTTAAAGAACAGCGTTGATATGGATCGAACGTGAAGAAACCTCACAGATAGGACAGTCGGAATTTAGAAGATACCCAAAGAAGAAGGCCAAAGTTGTCAGCAACCTCTATCACATGCTCAATACTAAATTCCTTATCACACGAGGATTCCGAAGATGCCGGGACTTGACAGGTTGGTATCTAAAAAGCTGATCAAGATACAGGGAACAAAACAGATGCATATAGAGAGAGGAAAAGTCACTTACTTGAGGGACCGGGAAAAACAACACCATCTGCATCTTTAAACACAATGACACCGCGATGTGGTTTTTCCGCTTGTTCCAACATATGAGCATATTTCTGAAATAAATAATCCATTGATCAACTAAAACGGTAACGACAGAAATCGATAAAAATTGCTTTAAACATCTCTACAACTGGCATCAGAGAACCATCAAAAGACAAGCTAATGTGATTCCCAGAACAAAAGAATGTGGTCCTAAAACAGAAGAAAATCAGAGTTATTTTTTAAATCGGATTCCTACTTCCTTCAAGGAAGATGTAGTCAACAGAGCGAGCGATGCGTTATAACCCGGGTCTAGTGCTTCCATAAGGTATGGTTCACTGGATGGACTAAAAATACACATCCTACACCATTATGCTCAATGCCTCCGAAAGCTTATTTGTTCGGGGGCGGATGTCTCGGGCTGCGGATGGTCACCCCTCCCTTGTATCTCGCGAAACGCTGGTCTTATGACCAAGCATGTTATATAGCTTTCGCTGAGGAAGCTCCAATCACTGCCTTCTCGTGGAGGTGTTTTCCCAACAAAGTGAAAGGAAGAAAAGCCAACATCCGGAGCTATAACCAGGTCGATGAACCACTGTCAGTTCATCTGGGGCAGGTGGCTAAAAACCCTGGTTCCAAACTAAATAAAAAGGTGTACGGACTACGAAACCACACATTCCTGGTAAGAGTTGTGCACACCGGCTCGATTCAGTGTGGGCTAAGGCTTCGTCTGTTGCTTTGAAGAATGTCGGCTTGCTTGGGCGAGTCTATGGTCGGTTGGAATCAGCACTGTTTCCACGTTTGCTATCAATGTAAATTCCACCGTACAATGAGTACGCCATCCAAGCTTGGAGTCCATGGTTGCAATGTGATCCCAGTATGATTGAGCGCCCACAAAGGATGGCCACCAAGGTGGTTAAGGGATTGCAGTACCTTACCTATGAGGAGAGATTAAGATATATTCTGTTCAGTACCGCCGCATTCGGAGAGAGGTGATTTTGACGTATCAAATACTGCAGAACACAAGCCATCCATGTCGGCCGCTACTCATGTTAACGAACAATGTACACCTTAGGGGACACCGTTTCGAGTTACAGATTCTAAAGTGTCGACTGGAATGTCGGTGCCAATCTTTTGCAATCAGAGTATGCAGTACTTGGAACACCCCTCCATCCCACGTCGTCTGTGCACCAACTATTGAATCTTTCAAGCGGAAACTCGATGAAACCTTGATACACCTCACATTCCTACACCACTACAAGCAAACGCAAATTCGTTCAGGCCTACATTGTTTGTTATCTCCTATCTGGAACTCTGTTATTTTTTCGCCGAGGAAATGAGTAAACTGCGTAAATATCCTATGGGGACAAAAGAAGCATGAGCTTGTAAGTAATTACAATAATAAAACATTGACTTTGAGGTGTATAGGGCTTTTAACATTCAAATCTTCATCCTTCTATTTTATCCAAATGGGCGGCCGAAAGACAGCAACCATGGTTAATGGTTGTAAAAACTGAAGTGTGTTGGGCACCTTGGACGCTCGACCCCGTTCAAAGGGTGTATGACCTTATGAACTGTACACCGGCCCCCGATGGATTGCGGTTTTCTCGCACCGCACCGCTACCTTGCGAATCAGACTTTGGCAAGCTAAAGGCTCCGGATGTGAACTCCCTAAGAATATTTATCTGCTTTGGTCTGGGTAACCTAGAAGTATCGCGACATCGATCACAGCATGAACCTTTTTCCTTGGCCAGAAGATTATCGTACCGTGATTTGTTTGGCACACAGTCTGAACTCAGACGTGTGTGAAAATATTATATATATATATATATATATATATATATATATATATATATATATATAATGCTCATTTGATTGTGTTCTGAAAATAAAGAGAACTGGTTGTAAATAAGCATGAGAAAATAAACAAACAACGGAGGAAATGCAGCACTGTCAGTAAATCAGATTGTATACCATCTAAGCTAAATTCATGTGACCACGAGGAGGGACAACATGAACGTTATATGCTCAGTCCTGGAAACAACGCTAAAGACAGAGCACAACTTAAATGCTGCCTTTTCAGGACACGGCAAACTACTAGGACACTGAACCCCGGCGACAAGTGGAAACCGGTAGATTATAATATGGACTTTACGGCGAAACTATGCACAAAAAGTAAAGCCTGGTAGTTAAGTGAAGACTATACTGAACACTTCTTTGGGTCCGGAAATAGGTACTGGGCTCAAAGGGATACTGTCATTTGACGTGTGTTGCAAGACCAGCTATCCAATTTACCAGCGAAACTAGGAGTCAATGGGAAATCAATAACAGTACCGGGAGTTATCGGACGCGCTGTCGATCTGCCACTTGTCAATGAGAAGTTTCGGAAAACCCTGGAACAGAGTGAGGGGTTCAAACGCTCGGGGATACATAAGAGTTGCAGCTTTTTAACGGTGAATAAAACAGCATCAGACACCCGAGTTTAGGATTACGAATATTCCATCTATCATTCACTCTCCTGCCAGTTTGGAAAATATCATTGCTGAATGTACAATGTACTCATTGGAATCCGTTTCACAACTAGGCAATACTGCCTCAGAAGTTGAAAACTGACTGCATCCCAACATGTCTATTCAGGTAAAACAAGCTCTGAAAACAACAACACAGAAAGATGACTATAACATCAAGGAATACTAGGAACAAGCTACAACGTCAAATGTATCTACCGGCAATTCCGGATTAAATGAAAGTGAAAAAAATTATCCTGTTTTATCAAAACCGAAAGAAGACATGTCGCGAAACACGTGTTCGTTCAACAATGGTTTTACAACGCTATGTGAGCAAACGATCAAGTCCTCGTGTGGTAGAAGCGGGGAGTCTTCGCTTTCGGTCTTGATACGATGGATAAAGGGGACCCAGTGTTTCAAATATCCTCTGTTTATTTTGGATTGGAAGAAACCCCGAGCAAAAGCGAGTAACTTCGTGAAGAATTGAGATTTAGTTTCAGCCATGACATAAGCTGATCGGCATAGCGGTAACGCACACACCATCCATGCGATGGGTCCAGAGTTCAAATCCCAGACAGTGGGACGGTGGATATGCACTACTGATGATGAGTTCTACTAAGAGCGAAACTCGAGTCTAGTGCTTCCGAGTGTATGGTTGAATCGATGAACTGAGGATTGTTGCGTGAAGGTGAAATCCGAAGGACAATCAGTCAAATCAATCAATTATCCTCCACACACTACTCACAAGTAACTGCGAGTCAAACGCGAATTCAAATTTATCAATCAGATTTGTACGTTATTTCAAGTGGGCTGTGCTATGACCCGAAAAATCCAAATGATAGCTGCTACCATGTACCACCGCAACCAATGATTCGCAGACAGTATGACATTCTGTGCATGTTCAATTGTTTCACTGTTGTCAGTAGTCAAACTCTATTCGGACAATCTTCCCTGTTTTCTGCTTTCCTATCAGTTGACCTTAGTCAGTCTTGGCGGCTGGGCATCTTGGTTTAATCTGACCACCACGCATTGGTGCACTTTGTTAGACTGCTGGTCAAATTACTTCGAATATACGTTTCCTTTCGATTTAAACCTTGTTGTTTACCATACCCTATGTTAACATATTGCTTTATCATTACAGAACCAACAAAGGCAAGAATCCCAGACGTTCCGACTATCTTCTGATATAGCTATTGACCCCGAAGTGCGTATATTCGATGAACGACTAACAAAGTGCCATGCATACGAATCGCGTAGCAACAGACAGTTTGATCAAGCACTAGGAGATTAGATGATGAAATCTCTACAACAACGAAACAGAATAGTTCTCCGGATGTATTATATACTTCACCAGGATGATTTAAACCGGTCCTTGAGATAAAGGGACAGTAGATGAGTTTGTGATGATACTGTAGGAGGATCCTGAGTCTACTCTAGGACGGTTAATATTAAGTTTATCATAATGTTCTAGAAATTCAATGTTATCTCGAAAGGATTTTTGATGCCTATATAGTCATCCGAATCGATAAAACGATCGCACACAAGGGAAAGAAGTGGCTGAAGGAACAAGCAGATCACTCAAAGTACTCTTCCATTCGAGTATTATGAGCTGTGTCCAATCACGAGCAGATGCAGACTCCAGCACTACAAATCGATTCAGTAAACTACTTACTGGATAAACCCCACACTACAAACTGACGACAAAAAGAGGCCTGACGAGCGCCAGATGCAGGCTAACCGGAAATTGCATCCGGTCACCAAGATCAACCGTACAGATAGATAGATAGAGATTATCATAACGGTGAAGGAACAGTTTTGCATAGTTTGAAAAGAAAAACGGAGAAACACGAGTTATCTGGTCGTGACCTTTATCAAACTGACACGTGACGTTACTGATGTGCGTTATTATGTCGATAGGTATAAAGTGGTAACGAGTCTTCTTATTTCGGGCTTATAGCGCTTACTTCAGGCCCCAACTACACTGCTGGGTTGCGTAGTATTTAATGACTTGCTCCATTATTTATGCCAGCATGAGTGAAAAAGTACATTCTTTGGTACACTGAAAAAAATGGTTAAAAAACCACCTATGAGAATGATGCAAAAGATGTGCATTTCTGTAGATTTTTGAGAATTTCACACAGGATCTCCTTGTTTCCCGTTATAGTATGGACGAATAGAATAACTGATGAATAACTAAACGTTTATACGGATAGTGAGTACAGAAAATTGAAGCCTAGACAACCCGTCAGATCGCGCAGGTCTCCGCCTCAAGCCACACGCTTAAGATGCTCCAGGCAGGCTGAGTCAGGATTGGATGACTGCATAACGAGTCAGGTGGTTGTCCGATCGACCAATCGAAATGTCAAGAGCACAATCTGATTGGTGCGTCGCTGCGCCGTTCTCGTATGCGTGACTTACCCATATATTTGCGTATCGAACCCTAATCACTGGATACACGTTGATGGTTGTTTCTAATCCCGTCCTCTTTGCGCGTTATTGTTGGGGCTTAAGCAAGGGTCACTCGTGTCAATAATAGGTCTAGATCAAACACAACCAACTGGTGTTACTACGGCTAACCCGCTAAG